GAGATTTTAAAAGGCTCCTGTCTGGGTTCAGCCTGTTTTTAGAAGCACTTGTAAGACCCTTTTGCTCCAATCTGACCTGATGCCTCCCTTCTCACTCAAGGCCACTATTCCTGAGCCCTGTAACATCCTACCTTGGAAGAGCAGACCTCCTTCCACTGCCCCTCAGCCTCCTTGCCCACTCCAATGGAGCATAGAGCCTAGTCCCTCAAATGGAGATGCTTCCTGTCTCCTATAGGGTACCCTACACCCCAAGATTATTTCATAGAGAAGTTGCCACATAGTTCTTCCTTGCTCCTCGTCTTGGACAACCTTGTGAATTTGAGTAGTACATTTCTAGCAAGGAAATTAACTCGCTGAACAACAGGAGGGGATGAAAGATTTGCTTTAGAGTTCTCAGACCGGTAATTTAGCACAGGCTGGATTTGCTTTAGAGTTTTCAGACTCTAATTTATTACAGGCTGGATACTGTTGTAATGTGGGTAACTCCAGGTCCTTAAGAGACCTCATTTAGTGACTTAGTAATGTCATGATTTTAGCTAAATCCTATCAATCAGTAGTCAGGTTCTATTAGCTGATTAATTTTTGTGTTTTACTTATTGACTTGGTTATTAAGTCAACTATATATTGGGGTCACTAGAAGCAGCCACTGTAGAATGCTTTACTGATTTTGCACAGAAACAGATACAGGGACTGGGGAGACAGGTCAGTACATAAGAACACTTGGTGTGCAGGCTTGAGGATAACTGTGAATCCCTGACACCCATGTAAAAGCAAGGAATGTGCTCAAATGCACTCGTAGCTCCTATGTTGGGGATGGGGTGAAGGTGGGGCTTGCTGGCTGGCAGCCTAGCTGTAGGTCCAGAGAGTGACCCTGTTTCAAGGCATTGAGGAAGGTGATAGAGGTGGACACGTGATGTCCTCCACTGCCTCTGTGAAACCTGCACACACACACACACACACACACACACACACAGAATTATAATAACAATGATATTTAATTATTCTATGGTCCACGTGACCACTCAGTGGCACTGATGGCAGGTAGGCTACTGGGGGTGGAACCGTTTAGAGCACTGGGAGAACAATGAGTGCCTTCCCTCAGGTGCACAAAAAACAAACAAAACTCCCAACCAAACAACAACAACAACAACAACACACACACCACCCCCAACAAAACCCCAAAGACTGGTGGCCAAATAGGTTTTTGTTAGGGGCCAAAGGTGTGAAATATCTCTTTAAAAATAACTATAGTTGTTTTTTGTTTGTTTGTTTTGTTTTTTTGCTGGCTTTCAATGTCTGGTCATCTTAGCTGCTTCTCCTTACTGCCCACCTGACACTGGTGGTATTGCTGAGGGGAAGGGCTTGTGATGCTGGCACTGTTCCTAAGGTAAAGGGCCTCTGATGCTAAGGGCCCGGTGATGCCTGCAGTGTATGGTTAGTGTCCTACGGGTGCTTGGCTCACTAGTTTTCTGTGCATTGTCAGCAATGTTTGGGAGAGTATATATATATATATATATATATATATATATATATATATATATATATACACACACACACACACACACACACACACACACACACTTCCTTCCTTGGAATTTACTGTACAAAATTCTCTCTTTTCTTTTCAGAAAACAGTGGTTTCGTTTTTACTGTTTAAATACAGGATTTTCTAGCTTAATCCAATTTAATTGTAAAACTATATTAAAACATTCAAAAGAAGTTATAATTATGGACACCTGACTCTGCAGGGAAATTGCTAAGTCGGCTCCTTGAACTGTGGCATGAGTCAGCACTTAGCTAAGGGACAGAACTTTAAATCAGCACTGATTCTAAATGACAAAAGAAAATGTCTAAGCAGATATTAAATCGTACAATAAAAGTCATTAACACCATTTCACATGTAAGGAGACCGAGACACACAACAGAAACTAAGGTGTATAAAGTCGTGTAACAAACCTCGTAGCTGGGGTTACAAAACCAGGTCATATGGCTCCAGGGTCTGCATTTACATAGTACTTTTTTTTTTTTTTTTGGTTTTTTGAGACAGAGTTTCTCTGTGTAGCCCTGGCTGTCCTGGAACTCACTCTGTAGACCAGGCTGGCCTCAAACTCAGAAATCTGCCTGCCTCTGCCTCCCAAGTGCTGGGATTAAAGGCGTGCGCCACCACTGCCTGGCTAACTAGTAAGTTTTAACTTACTGAAATAGAGTTGCTTGTGGGAGACCATAAGAAAGAAAGAGTGCTTCTGGCTCGGAGGGTAACTGCCTAAAGCAGCAGATGTTTTTTGCAATACTTTATTTTTTAATTTTTTTTCTAGAACACTTGCTGAATCAATAACTGTCTTATAAATGTTAAAAAACAAATATTCATGTATTTGTATACACAAGGAGCTTAATCCACATAAAGTTACTTATGTGTTTAAGATACAATGTCAGGATTAGCTGATACCAATGAGACATATGGACAGACCTTTGCTGTCACTGCTGCTGCTGTTGTTTCTTTTAGAATGGAAGTATGGCTATCTTCCTAGCCAAAAAATAATAATAAAAAAAAATCCTTTCTACTGTGGCAACACAATGACCTAAGCTTTTCTGACCCTGATGTCTTAAGCAGGAGTTTTTACAGCTGCCTTCCTCTTTGCATCCCATGTAGACTTGTTACTTTTCCAGTCCGTCTTCCTAGCCTTGTCTTGAAGGACCACTACCTCACAGTTACTCTTCTGCCTTTACCACTATGGTAAAATGTGTTTTTCAGAATCACCAATCCTCCACAGTACTGTCCCACCTTTTCTAATGTATTTCAGTCTTCACTACTTTATGCAGACCAATGGCTTTAACTTAGCTACTGATGCGCGCTGGATGAGTGTCTCTAAAATTCATATCTTTAAAATAAAACTTGGGATTTTATATAAGGATTATCCAAATTAAAAAAAAAACTTAATACCAAAATGAACCGTACAAACATTGCACATATGAACAATTTGCCTTTATTAATTAAAAAATGTCTAAGCAGGGCACTGTCTGCTCAGTCTCAGGGGTAGACCTTTTTTAAGCTTTGTCAGACAACAAAAGACTGGCTCGGTTATATATTCAATATTCCTTACAAAAAGTCTGAGTGTTCCTATTTTAGTGTGGACTCATCTGTGGAGACAAACTGGCACTTGCTGGGTATCTGGGATTGTGTGCTTCGCTCTTTTGGATAGCTTTTATAATGTTTCTTTTGGTGTTTCACATGGGCTCTGGCTAGCTTAAGGGGAAAGTGGACCTGCATATTCCAAGAATATCTGGGTTATAACGTAGAGTTCAAGACTCAGAATATAGTGGGTAAATAATCTCTAGCCTCAAGAAGAGAAAACCTCTCAGTGACTTACCAGTTAACGTTTCCCAGAAGTTCCAGGAAGTGTCAGGTCTTCAGCTGCGGATCCCACAATCAAGGTGAAGAATTAAAGATAACAGCTTGAGTGTTTGCCTGTGGCCGCCACCCTGGGTCTTGTAGTAGCTTATCACTGTGTAGTAATGGTCACATCAACGAGGCTCCTTATACAGAGTGCCAGCATTGTTTCACAGTCTAAAATCATTTCTGTCACAAACGAGGAAATGGAGCACTTAGTGGGCTAGGCTGTGTGTCTATGAAGGTCCCGCGTAGAAGGTGGCTGGCTTAGGACACTAACATAGGCCGGGGTGTGCACCTGGGGTGCTGCCCCTCTGGAGGGAGCACTGGGCCACAGTGGCCTGAAAAAGCAAAGGCCAGTGTTAAAAGGCCACATGAGAAACTCGGTCTATTACTTGAATAAACTCCAACATGTCACCTCCTATCGAGGGTTACTAATATCATGCAGAATATTTGGCACTTCTACTCACGTGGGGTTGGGATTCTTTTCCACCCAAGAATGGTAGTGTCAGATTTGTAATTTGAAAGTAGTTGCATCTGTCAAAAAGGCCAAACTGATTGGCTCCCAATCTTTCATGAGCCTCTGTGGGGTTCACGTCTCTAGGCTGGATTCTTACCTTTGCAGTAGGAATTGCTTGATCATCTCATTCTCCTGGTGCTTGCCATCTGACGTGATCTATCCCATTCTGCTGGTGCTTGCCACCTGAGGTGGTCTATCCCATTCTCCTGGTGCTTGCCACCTGAGCTGGTCTATCTCATTCTGCTGGTGCTTGCCACCTGAGGTGGTCTATCTCATTCTCCTGGGGCTTGCCAGTTGAGGTGAGCTAGGCTCTTTTGATAACCAAACAAAAATCACAACGCATTTCACTGGAAATATACCTTAAACATCACTCAAACCATTAGCTAGTTCAGTCTGGAGAATCCCTATACATACATCAGATTTCACACACTGACTTCCAGGCATCTTTAAGGACACCCCCATGGAAACGGCATAGCAGTAACCCCAAGCGGAGTAGCATGAGACCTGGTCAGTGTTCCTCAGTCTTCAAACGCTGACAGATCTAATTCATTCCAAGAGATTTCAGAGAACACTTGCTCTGTATAGATAGCAAAGCTGGAACCCCAATCAGAAAAAGACACAGCCTCCTGTGGTAGTTGGGTAAGGCAAACTCAAGACTAGATACTCTCCTGGTATCTCTGCTCTCTCTGGACCTCAGCAACAGTGACCTATGCCCCACACTAACCCAAGGCCAATCTGAATGACGTCAGATGGCTCCCTGACATTTAATTTGGAAAAGTGTCTCACCTTTTCCCATGTAGCAATTCAGGCTCATGGTTTGCTTACTCTGAATTTTACTTGAGTTTCTATGATAACTAAAGAATTGTAAGATCCTTGGTAAATACTGTCACTATTTAAGGGGAAATGTTCACAGAACACAACATGGTTTCAGAAAGAAGTAACATTTTTAAAGAATTAACAAACTGTTGCCTAGCATGGTGGAACATGCCTTTCTCAACACATAGGAGACAAAGGCGAGTGGATAGCTTTGATTCTGAAGCAGGACTACACAGCGAGTCCCCTGACCTCTAAAAAAAAACATGAGAATCAAGCCACTTTTTGGAGTTCCATTTATTATACTGAGAAATCCCAGAAAAATACAAAGCCCCAGGAAGCAGAAGCACTATTCATGATTTCATATTGGAGCACACTGCTCATGAATTACGAACATCCCGATTTACCCCTATGTCTGGTACTTGATTAAATAGATGTGTAGATGTCTGAGTTATGTTCTTTCCAGATATTAGATTAGGAAACAAGATCTCGAGCCTTTGAAGAATGGCAGGAAGCAAGCCTGGCCACACACCCCAGCTTACACAGGGCAGCTGCTCCAAGCCTGGCCAGCTAGTGTTGTTCATTTTTGGTAAATCTATGGAAACACGTGGGGTCACATGGGGGGAAGAGGTCAGGTTAGTCAGAACAATGACCATGCCAAATATTTCTGCCCACTCTACCTAAAATCAAGTAAATGCATGATTACACAGTGGTTGCTCCCTGCACATCACCTCGAGGTGGTCACAAGGTAATCCTTTACCAAATACAGTGTCATCAGGTCACCAGAAGCCATACAGTTTACCTGATGAACTGAGGATAACACACCACTTTTCCATGACTGGGTCATATACATTCTTCCATTGCTACTCATGATAAAACAACAGAGAATAAGTTAGATCTGTCAATGGGTCTTGTGGAAACTGCTCTGGCTCATTCTGGAACTGGAAACCACTTTCCCGGTTTAAACAGAAAACAAGAGCACTTGTCTAAGTCACAGTATTTAACTTAGAAGTCTAGTGACTGACGCAATGGCCAGGGCAAGGCAGCCCACCACGTTCCCTTTATTCGATGCCACCAGGCTCTACGGCCATTAGATCACTCAGCTGCTTCTGGGCGCAGGAGGCAAACAGCTTCAGAGTGGGCAGGCTTAATGACCAGGATGGATCAGCTGTGTCTCTATTCAATGTCAACAGGCTCCGTAGCTATTAAAGCACTCAGCTGCTTCTGGGCGCAGGAGAGGAACAGCTCCAGGCTGGACAGGCTACGCTGGCGGGTGACTTGATCAAGCTGTTGATTGTTTAGAAAGAGAGAGAAGAGAGAAGCTTCAGTTGGGAGAATGCCAATAGGGTGCCAGTGAAAGACACCAGGAGCTTTCTGGGAGAAAGGACGTGAAGCCCAGTGGGATTTCCAACTGTCTGCCTGTATAATCAAGGTTGTTCTCCTGTTATTCAGGCTGACAGGGTGACATGTACTTTCACGGCTGACTGTGGTCTGCGGTTACTGGAGAAGTCACATGTACAATATCAGAATGGTTTTTTTAGAAAATGTGAGTACAAACAAGCTGGTTCTTAAAGAACAGACCAAATATCCTCAACGATCCTATGGATACCATAGATGCACAGGACACAGAGATCAGCCAATGACATCACACTTCAATTCAGCACAGTTTTGGGGGTGAAGAGGACTGGGGGGATGGGGCTGGAGGGGCAGCTTGTCATTTAGGGTTAAGAGTGCTGCTGCTTTTGCAGAGGACTAGAGTTTGGTCCCTAGTACCCACATATAGGCTTACAACTACCTTAACTCCAGCCCCAGGGGACCTGATGCCCTCCCTGGATTCTGAAAGTTCCCCCCCTCACACGCTTCTACCACACAGACACAAACATAAGTAACAATAAAATCGATAAATATTTAAAAAATATTCGCTAATGTTGAAACCTGTGTGAGCTATTCCCCCTGCTGAAAGATTTTAAATCAAGGTTATAGTGACAAAAATGATGTTCGGCAAAGACAGTTATCTGGGTTATCTGCTGAGGATGTTCTGGACGATGAAGATGACGTTGCTTATGGCACAGAAAGGAATATGCTAACAGTGAGAAAGAAGGCTGGGCCCACAATGGGAATCTTCAACAGAGAGCTGTGGATTCCATTTTATACTATAAACCTGACTAACACCCTTCTGCATCCAAGTGAGAATTCTCTATTAAACTGCACTTCAATAATCCACTGAAACTCAGGATCATTAACCAGAACACAAGACTTTCCAGAGTATCCAAGTGTCAAATGACAAAGAATGAAATCTAACAAAACAGCTGTGTAACAGGACTGGGCTGGCTAGACAAGACTCTCTCCGATTCTGAGATTTCCATGAAAGAACAGCAGAGGTCCTGCTGGTTTTCTTCCCTCAACCTTCCTCTTCCTTTGTCACGTGATGCCTCTGGGTAGATATAAAGACAAACACCTGCTGCACTCACAGGATTATACACAGGACAACCCTTGATCCCAGGTGAGCAGACACTGTGTATCAAGAGAATGACTGCTCTTAGCTTCTAGAAACAGGTCTGGGCATGTTAGGCACTTGTCAAGCTTTATGAGGCTGACTGAATTGATCTGTGCATAAGCCTAATAAGGGCCACAGCGTCTACTGGGAATGGCTGATGTATAGTGAATCCTGAGATCGACAGGAGGTTCAGACTCATCCACAAGATGGGATGTTGCAAGGTCATTTTAATATGTGCAGGGTTCTCTCTCTCCTCTCTCTCTCCCTCCCTGGCCCCTGTCTCTCTCTTCCCCCGTCCTTCCCCTCTGTCTATTTTGTTGTTTCTGAAGCAATAAGGAAATTTAAAATCCAAGTATATTCCATTCAGATGAGAAGATGTTCATAACTATCATGGACAGAGTCAGCATGTGGAATTTCGATGTCATATAAGCTGCTCAAGTTGTAAGAGGTGTGACCAAATTGCTTTCCAGTAAGTGTACCAGGTCATCAGTGCCCAGCATGAGGGACCGTATCCCTACCCTGTTCTTTTAAGCAGCTACATAGGCCCCACTGTATATTTACAGTTTAACACATTCATTAGATATTCCAGTACGACACACAGGCTAACATATGGTGGGTTTCCTTGATTGACGATTGATATGGGAGGACCCAGATCACTGTGAGTGGTGCTACTACCTGTGAGCAGGTAGTCCTGGGCTCTGTAAGAGAGCAAGCCAGTAGGCAGCACTTCTCCATGACCTCTTCATTGGTTACTGTTCCACGTTCTTAACCTAACTTCCCTCAGTGATGGTCTAAGGAGAAGCTCTAAGCTAAAATAAATCTTTCTGTCTCCAACCTTCCTTCACTATATATTTTTAACCACAGCAACAGAAACTCTTAACAAGGACACACAGAGTCCAGTTTGTAGCAACTGCTTAGGCGGCAGATGGCTATCTGCAAGGTGACCTGTGACCTCTCTGCACATGTGCAGGTGGCACCTGGCTTAACAGTTCTCCAGTGTCCATCGCTCGTCTGACCTCGCTTGTCTCCACATGGATCACACTATCTTACTACAGCCTTACAATAAGCCAATCTATCACATGTGGTCATCTTGAAAGAGGATTAATCAGTAGGCGTGCGTAACAATTGTAACATTTAAAACAAAGAGACCAGATAGAGTCTTACGCTTTTCAGAAAGCACAAAACAGCAAAACTCAGAAGTATGTTGTTCTCAGATATAAACCCTGGCAGAGAAGCCTTCCTTCCCTTTTCAGGTGGTTTGGAGGTAGTTTCATGGGTGTTCACTTGACTCTATGTTAGCCTAAAAAAAATATCCACAGACACTATGGGTCCTGCCTGCCATCACAGCATTGGAAAGGTTGAAGCAGGGACATCAGGAATTCAATGATGGCTTCATCTCTGTAATGAGTCTGAAGTTTCTGGGGCTAGAAGACTCTGCCTCAAAAACAAAAAACAACAAAACAAGAAAGAAAAGCCTTCTAGAAAAACCTAAACCTCAACCAGGAGCTCCATTTAGGACAAAACTGATGCTCCTTCTTAGGTGTCAGATAAAAGCCAACTATCAGCATCTGAGGAGTAAGGAAACTCAGTGCTTAGACTACATCCACTAGTGCAAGCCTCCACAGCCGTGAATGTGTCCTTGTTTAGGAAAAAGGTCTTTACAGATGATAAGATGGGTTCATACAGGGTTAAGTGTGGGCCCTAAACACAATCACCAATACCTCTGCAAGAGACACCAAGACAACAGAGAGGGGCTGTCAAAGACTGGAAGCTGTCACCAGAGACTAGGGTTAGTGCTCCAGTGTCCCCTGGTGCCTGAAAGAACCAGAACCAAGCTCTGACGTCTGAGCTTCGAGCTTCATGCCTCCAGTAGTGGACGAGAATATGTCTCTTTTGTTTTAAGTCTGTTGTAAATTGATTAAATGCCTTAGACAGCTCAGGTGAGACATGACAGCTTCTCACCCTGTGTCCTATGGGGGGGAGGGGGCTCTGTGCCATGATAGCTTCTCACCCTGTGTCCTATCAGAGTCTCTGTGTCATGACAGCTTCTCATCCCGTGTCTTATGAGAATCTCTGTGCCATGACAGCTTCTCACCCTGTGTCCTATGGGGGCCTCTGTGTCATGACAGCTTTGTGCAGTGATGTATTGTATTCTGTTTTCACCAAGGGGCTTTCTGTTGCTTACGTGAAATGCACAATTCTAAACGATGCCATTGCATTTTTATTACTTTTGTATTAGCAAACAAATTCACAGGCTCCACTATCGCATTTTCAAACATAATTTGTTGACCTTCCTGTGACCTTTCTCCCTCGGCTGCCCCCAGGTTCATGTTACATGTGTTTCATTGCCCTTCCTCGTAACTTCTTCACCCTCCTCTTGTGGTCCCTGCTCTGGCTTCATGGCCTATCCCCACAGTCCCAGACACACACAGACAAATTTGAACATTAGCTGTGAGGATGAGTACATGACGGAGAAGATGTGGTGCTTTCCTTTCTCAGTCTGAGTTACTCTCCTTCTTATGATAACTTTCAGACCAACCCATTTATCCGGCAAGCTTCACTTTATGGCTGAATAAAATTCTACTGCCCATATGCACTACATTTCTTCGTTATCCATTTGTCAGCAGGTGTCTAGGCTGAATCTATTTCTCTGCTGTTGCTATGAATAGAGGGGAAACATCAGGAAACATCAAAGATTTCTGTAGGGGATACAGAGTCCTTCAGGGGTGTCCCCATGTGTGATGTAGCTAGGCCATGTGGCAGTTATTTTAAAGATTTTTTTTTTTCTGAAACCTCCACCAATCATGTGGAATGACTGAGTAGGATCTTGGGGTTTCTATTGCTATGGTGCTTACCAGGACCAAGGGCCACTTGGGGATATAAAGGGCTAATTTCATTTTCTACTTACAGATAACAGTCTATCATCAGGAAAGTCAGGGCAGGAATCTGGAAGCAGGAACTAAAGCAGAGGCCGGGGAGGAGACCTGCTTAATGGCCTGTTGCTCATGGTTTGCTCAGCCTCTTGGTCTAATGCCCTTCTACAGTCATAAAACAAGAAAACATCCCACGGGCTTACCCAGAGGCCAATCTGGTGGGAACATTTTCTCAGCTGAGAGTCCCCCTTCTCAGATGCCTAGCTTGTGTCAAGCTGACTAGAAACACAGGCACAGGTAATAGTTCGCTGACTTTTTAAACTTTATAATCATGGGTATATAAAACAAAATTTGAAATATATCCTACCATCTTATTTCTTCTAGATGTTTATCTCGACCTTAATCAAACAAACTGCAAGCACATGGGGGACAGCGGTCGAGTGCTCCAGTGCTTATACAGTAATGGTGAGACTGCTCAGTCTGACTTTCCCACACCACAGCGTGGAGCATAGAGGCTTTGAGTAGTTAAGGGTCTAGCCTTCCATTCTAGATCGCCCTCTGTACTAAAAAGGCAGCAACCTAGTTCTTAAGAGCATATTTAAATGCATCGGAGTTTGGCTGCTGTGTTTGAAGGAGAGTTGTCCATGTTTGTTTCTGATAAGGTAAGTTCTGCAGATGCTCATTCCTAAAGTACCTGCTCTATGCCCACAGGGACATGGGAAAGCTCTGATGACAGTAAACACCCTATCCTGACTTAAGACCACTGCCAACTTCCAGATGAAGTGCACACACACACACACACACACACACACACACACATATTAAACACGCACATACACACATCGAAAACATGCACATACACACAAGATCCTGGACTTTTTCTGAGACAGCCATCAGATTCTTCTGCGGTGGTTTGC